TTTTTTTTTTTTCCCTTTTGCCAGAAAAACTGGCATTGAGTCAGAGCTTTGCTGACAGAAGTACAGCAGGCAGGGTGGGAGGGGTTTGTTCTCATTTTGCTAATCACCATAACTGCAGTGCCAAAGGCCCGGGAGCAGGACAAGCCCCACACAGGGCGTGCAGGGCAGAGTCTGCACTGGGGGCATTTCCAGGGCCTGTCACATCAAACGTGGATCCCAGCACGGGGACAATGGCAGCAGGTGATTAACCCGTCCAGCTCCTTCCCCTTCATTGGAACACCCAGAAGGGACTCAGGGCAATGAGCTAATAGCCATGTGGAGTCCCAGCTCTGAGGAACATAACCATGGACCTGGAGCCTTTTCTCAGTCAGATGAAAGAGAGGCTGTTGTGCTGCACTTCAGAGCGGTGCTAATGACAAACACAACTAAAACCTTCAGCCTGTTTCAGACTCAGGCCTGTAATCTCCTTATGCAATACCCTTGACAAAGCTCTCTTGTGGAATATGAGCCTGCTTTTCCCACCACAGCATATACTCCTTCCCTGCCAGACTGTGGGCTACTGGACTTGATTTCTTTAATTATTGATTTATTATTTTTAATCTGGTAGCATTTAACCAAATAAACTAGGTATGTTGCTGCAGATAAAACAAACATGAACAAGCTCTGCTTGCAGGGATGTGTGTGTGTCTGAGGGGAAGACCAGCAGCTCACCTGCTGCAGTGTTCTCAGAGGTTAGGCTGCCTAATTATTTTTTATTATCCCCGTGTTGTTCTATTAACCAAATATTTGTCTTTTTGCCTCACACACATATCTAATGCCAATATACAAACTGCACAAGGGGATTATGCCAGTGTGACTCAATCTAGGGTGTGTTTATCCTCGGAGAGACATAAGCCTCTGTTTCTAAAGGCGGGTGTTTCTTATCCCTGTTAGACCTATGAATATCTTTAGCCAACAAAATTTGTCACTTTTCAGTGTTGGCTCATCTGCTGCAAGAACAAACCCCGCGGGCTGGCCGGCCTCCAAGGGGGGTGGGGGCTGAGGCCTCTGGGACTGTCATTACTGACTATTTACATTACAGCAGAGTTTAGAGGCTTCTAGCTGAGATTCAGGCGTTGCCGTGCAAGCAGAGAGTAAAAGACACTTCCTGCCTCAAACAGTTTTTAGTCTAAACAGAAGAGACTGGTGATAAATAGCAGACAAAAAGGCAGCACAATTGCAACACAGCTAATGCTAAAGAAAGACTGCAAACCCCCTGAGATTTCTCTAAAAATAAATGTTGAGTTTTCTATTTGTTTCATAGATGGCTACATTTGTATGTTCAGGCTCCCTTAAAGACAGAAAGTTTCTGGGTGCTGTAACAGCTGCAATTCTTGCTTACTCACGTGACTCCAGGAGGTGAGGTCTCACAGGATGAACACATCACTCCGATCCTGCTCCATCTCAAAGCTCCTTTCTGCTGCAGGGGAAGTGAGCAGGCTGGTGGGGCTCAGCTGCCAGCTGGGGTTAAACCACCACACCTGTCCACAGAAACACTCAGTGTTGCTACACAGCAGTTTCTCGTGTGGTCCCCTTGTGGGGCAGAAACTGTTTCTCTCACATTGCCCGAGCTGTTTTCCCCACCCATGAAAATGATTTTTAAGAACAAGAGTAGTGTTTAATTTTCACATCTCTTTCTCCATTATGCTCACTATACATTGTTTCCTGTATCTATCCCTGTCTCATTGGGATCCACCACTGCCAAAGCCCTGGATTTGCTGGTCCATCCCTCACATTTGACCTTCCCATTTAACTGGCAGAACAGTCCTGGGTTAAACTCCTGGGTTACATTCTCTGATGACAGGTGATACAAAAGAAGGCAAAAAATAATCAGGCAGAAAGGCCTGGGTGTTTCACCTGTCCAAGGTGGCCTCTACTGTAATTTGTGTGTAAGGCTCACCACATGGGCAGCTGAGCAGGAAAAAGTCCGTGGAAGAAGTGGACCTACAATTAAATTTTTCTTATAGTTGCAGGTCCAATCTCAAACTGGTATGAACTGCTTTGGCTCAGTTGCAGGCAATGGAGATTAATTTAAACCAGAGAAAATGGTGAGGATTTGTCCCCTGATCACCACCTCATCATCTTCACTTTCTCAGCATATCCTAACAAGAATATCCAGCAGCAAGTCTAAAAATAGGACTTTAGTTTCTCAACTTCCCAGCAGAGGAGCATGCCAGAGCTACTGTGTATTCCTGTGCTGTGCTCGGTGAGAGGAATACTCCATGGCTGTGTAGGAGGGAGCCTTTGAGGGGAAAATCACCCATAATAAAGGCCTCTTTTATCTGAAACACCTAACATTTCAGCTCTTCAAATCCCAACACTGTGCTTTTTTAAAACAGGTTTCTATTATGTGTTAAACACATCAAATAGAGTAATTCAGTCTCATCATCTAAATTCAGTGTTGTGATAGCTGAATGAAATTGGGGCAAGCTAGCTAAAAAGGTAATAGAGGCTTTTCATAAAGGCAGCATGTGAAACGCAGGAGTGCTTTTCTCTCTTCAGGAATAAAAAAAAAAGGAAAAGGTTTTTGCTTTTCCCCAGTGAGCTTATGTTACAGAGTCAAAGACCACTGCTGGCCTACAGGGCAGGACTTTCAGAGGTGATTAGCAAGGTTAGGGCTCTACTGGGGTAGCTAGCAAAGGAAAATTCTTGTCCCAAAGAACCTGATCTGTGTGGGCAAGAGATATGGGAGGCAGTGGGGAAGAGAAATCCTCTCAGATCTTAGCCCAGTGGTTTAAGCAGGGACTTAACAGTTTTCTCTGATCCAGTACAGGCATTCCACATTTTATCATCACTTCCAAAACTATTGTTGTTTTTTGATATGCAAAAAAGGCCACTGTACAGTTCACACTGGAATGAAGTTCACAATGTGTGTATGGTTTCCTCTGTTCAAGAACAAAGTGGTTTCCTCTACAGAAGGCAGTTCTTACGTCCACCCCAATACACCCTGGAAAAATGGATACGCTCCCTGTGAAATCCTGCAAGCCTCGTCCATGAAATCACAAAAATGATGCTCCTCCCCACCCCATTTTCCCAGATGTCTGCACCTGGCAGTTCAGCACTGCCCCTGTTCCATGGGCATCCCGGTGCCACAGGCTGTGGGACACCCCTGGCTGCAGTCTTGGGTTAACAGCTCTGGGTTCACAAGGAAGGCTGAGAGAATTGGGATTGTTCAGCCTGGAGAAGAGAAGCTTTGGGGTGACCTAACTGTGCTTTGCAGTACCTGATGGAGCCCACAAGAAGGATGGAGAGGGACCCTGAACAAGGGCCTGGAGTGACAGGACAAGGGAAAATGGCTTCAAACTGACAGGGAGTAGGTTTAGATTGGATATCAGGAAGAAATTCTTTACTGTGAGGGTGGTGACGCCCCTGCCCAGAGCAGCTGTGGCCACCCCATCCCTGGAAGTGATCAAGGCCAGGCTGGATGTGGCTTGGTGCAACCTGGGATAGTGGAAGGTGTCCCTGCCCATGGCAGGGGTGTGGAAGTAGATGATCTTTAAGGTCCTTTCTAACCCAAACTATTCCTTGGTTCTACGACTCCATGAACTCCTGTGTGTCCGTGGGTGCCGCTCTGCCCGCTCTTCCTGGGCCTGGAGCTGGGACCCCCCCAGAGCACTCAGTGCCCTGGGCTCTGGC